AAAGATGATCAAGGAGCTGCAAAAGGACAACAACTTTGATGATAGAGTGAGCTCTAAAGGAGGAGATTTTAGTGAGGAATGAAGTTTTGGCTCAGCAAAGTTTACTGGTCCTGAAGACAGTTAGACTATTTGATGTTTATTTATCTGACCCCTTTGTTTCTTTTTGGCACTTGAATGTGCTTGACTTTTGAATTCTATGGTCTGTACCTATAGTACTAATACTCTCTTGAATGCATCCTGTTATTTGGCATATTATGACTAAAAAGGGGGAGAGAAACTGACTGACCATTGACTGACCACTGATTGAGGGGGGAGCTTAATACTTGAGAGGGAGCCTCATGTCTCAAGATGTTTTGACATATTCCTATTCTAATAGCTAACTGCTAACTGAGTCCTTTTTATTTTGCTTGCTTTATTCATGTTGCTGCTCTGATAATGCTCAAATAATGTTTTAGCCAAAATTTGTCAAAGGGGGAGTTTGTAAGTGTTTGTTGGCAGCAATTTTGGTAAAATAATGACCTGCTAATGTTTTGATAAATTTCTTAACATTTGAAGCAAACTGTTTTGAATGATGTCAAAGCAGATGTCTTGACATCTACCTCCTGAACGGAACTCAGCCCAATATCAGTTTAAATTTTTTGTTTCCTGTTTTCATGTGCGGCATAATTCAGAATTTATGACTCATAGGCTGCGAAAAATATGGAGGAATATTTTTCTATTTGAATTATCTTTATGGAATATATCTTGGCCTGTTTTCATGGAAATATTAAAAAGATTGAAATATTTGAGTTTCAGCCCAAGCCCACTGCTGCACATATATAAGGATATGCTTCCTTATTCATTCAACGACAATTTTTGAAGAAGAATACTTTCTTTCTGTTTTAGAAGTCTAAGTCTTTTAATTGTCAAACACTCTAGTATTGATTTAATACTTGTGTTATTATTTGAGTTGTTAATTATGTATCATTCATAAGCTTTTAAGCATTGAATGATTGAAGTCTTTAAAACTTATTAATTATGTTGTTTCTTCACTGTAAGTGATTGAAGGGATTTGAGGAGGGCCTCATACCTAGGAGTGTCTTAGGTAGAAGTATAGCACAGGTAGTGATTAAGTGATAAGATCATAAACTGGTTGTTTACTGAGGGTCTATGAATTGATACTATTTAGTGGACTTGTCCCTAGCTTGGTAGCCCCAAGAGTAAGTGTTGTTGTACATTGAACTGGGTTAACAATCCCTTATGTTTTTACTATTTTTATTATTGTTGCACTTTACTTTGTCCTCTGATATTTGTGTCGTGACATCTCCTTCGACATCACATATCTGATACCAGAATTTCATCTGTGACTTTGTTGATATGAAATACCGCTTACAATCAAATTGATTATAATATAATCAACAAAGCAATGTTTAACAATAAAAGGACATGTCTATATGAATTGATTACACAATCAATGAATTGAATAATTTGCTATACAAAGTAAATGATATATATATATATATATATATATATATATATATATATATATATATATATATATATATATATATATATATATATATATATATATATATATATATATATATATATATATATATATATATATATATATATATATATATATATATATATATATATATATATATATATATATAGAGAGAGAGAGAGAGAGAGAAAGAGAGAAAGAGAGAGATTTGTGTAGGCAGTTCACCAATCGTACTCGCTATGGCTACGTCTACCCCCATTTTATTTGGAATTGAGATAAGAATTCTTACTATACAAAAAATTGTTTACAAGAGAAATGCAGCAATCCAACCCTATGTTTGATGTTGATCCTAACACTTTCTCTTCCCTTGATCTGAGTTTGATCAAGTCATCCAACAAGACCAATATGATTCACCGTCTCACGCTACTCCTTAGTAAGAACAAATGTTCTTCAAAGACTTCACTCGGTCAAATCTAAATTGTTAATTATTATCATCCAAGGTTTTCAATCGATTCACCGTCTCACGATACTCCTTTGCAAGAATCTCCAGTTCTTCAAAGCTCTTCACTCGATCTAATATGAATTGTGAAATCTTGTCAAAACCTCCAAATCAATCACTATAATCTTGGAGGAAAATCCTCACAATTTTTCCGATGAAACTCCCAAAAATTCTCAACCCAATCTTAGGTTACACAAACCTAAATTGCACGTTATCAACATAAGTCTAGATGACATCCAAACAATGAATGATTATATTTACTTTGCTTGTGTGTATGCATAGATGAGAGGTTGAAGATGAAGAGCAATTTTTGTATGTGTTTATAGTTTCATCAAGTTGGAGGCAAAAAGGGATGCTTAGAAATTAAAAGGAAATGCAAATTTTATGAAAATTTACAGCATGTGTCGACACGTATAGGTCATGTGTCGATCTATCCAAGGTCTATGTGTCAACACATAGACAAAAGTTTTACAAACTTTAAAATGAAGTACACGTGTCGACCTGAAACACGTATGACACATGGACGAAAACTTTCAGTATGTGTCGATCTCAAGAGATGGATGTGTCGACAAATAGACATAGGTTTTATCGGCTTCATTATTGATCCACGTGTGTCGACTCGTATGTCGTATAGATCATCACATAGACTTGTTTTTCATGTAAAAATTCATTTTTAATGCTTTGTTCCTTTTCCAAACATGTTCTAAATACATTTTAAGATCCCTAATGCAAATGTGCACATAAAAACTCAGAGATATTATTCAATATACATAAATACTAAATTTATCATAATTTTTACATCATGCAAAACATCTAATAGATATGTACACTCACACAATTATCAATCGGACTGACTTAATGAAAAATATAAAAAATGGTACATTATTATTCCAGCACAATTATTATAAATGTTATTTATATTTCTTCACTGTCAAATTATAAGTTACTTTGTATAAAAAAAATAACATATGTATTTTATTAGACCATTGGATATTGATGTAACGGGTAATAATAAATTGAATGGCTGAATGCGTGCAATTTGCAACCATATTCAATTTCGAATGTGTGACCTACATAGGAGTGGGAGTTGTGTCCCAAAATACAGTAGTAGATTAGATTCGTTCTTCTGGGAACTGGGATTGGCTCTTGGGTTTACTTTCGAGCCAAGAAGAGAACCAGTGGGTGGGACATAAAGTATAACTCACATGTCTGAACCTCAATGGCCCATTTCTATCATATCTTTCTCTCCTCTTTTCAAGTGCTTCAGCATTAGGGAGCATATAAACGGATTCATACAAGTCATACTACTCACAATTTTTTAAATTATCAGTTACTAAGAGGATGTATTTCTTTATTTAAAATTAAGACACACTAATGTTTACAAAATGTTGGATGTCACTTTCTTAAAAATAGTATTTACAATAAAAAATTAACATTTTATCATTTTATCAAAGATATTCCTATAAGTCATACTACTCATAATCTTTTTATAAAACATATTTCTTTGTTTTTATCATTAATTTAAATTTTATATATATATATATATATATATATATATATATATATATATATATATATATATATATATATATATATATATATATATATATATATATATATATATATATATATATATATATATATATATATATATATATATATATATATATATATATATATATATATATATATATATATATATATATATATATTAATTATTTTTCAAAAAAAAATTATTTAAAGGGGGTTTAAAACTCCCGTTTATTTACTGCAGTAAAAAAAATATTTTTATTCACAAAATTTATTAATTTCTTAAAGTGAATTAGTGGGAGTTTTAAACCCTATTAAATGACATAAATCTGGAAAAAATTGATAAATTGATGAGATCCACTTAAATATATATCGAAGAGAATGTTATTAATACACACCTATATGTGTATTAGCATAACCCATATATATATATATATATATATATATATATATATATATATATATATAATCGTACCTGACTAGAATTGACTGTCACAGTTTACTTCGAGCAGTACTTGAGAGTGAGGTGGGGGTACCTGCAAGATACTCCGATATCAAAATGAGATATGGAATGGTGCGAGCAAGTAAGAGAGTGAGAGATGCTCAATACCTGACCCTCTCGAAAGAGAGGGTATTTATAATCCTCAGCGCTGGATCAAAGTCTCCTCATTGGGCTGGTCAAGCAGGCCCAAAGTGGAGACTGTCGGGTCCTACGTGAATAGTGGGGACCAGCACGTGGTCCCCACCTGGATGACTTCCTTCGCAAGATCAGGAGGATATGAATGTGGTCTTTCCGGGGTCACGAAGACTACATGATATTCTGAGACGTTGATAGTCAGCCCTACAAAGAGGATGCTCGTGAGGTGCTTCTGCTCGTCGTGGATGCTCCCTGCCAGACGCGAGGTCGTGTGAGGGGATCAATCAGTCTTGATCGCGGAGTGGATCGGAAGATGACCTCGAGGTCCTCCTAATCGACGATGATCTTCCTAAAACCAACTGGATTTATCCCCGTGCGATAAGGTTGTCTCCTTGCAGAGAGTGGAAGTTATTATCCGACGCAGTCAAAGACATAATTGATCAGTATGCCTTGACCGACATAATTAGATTATGCCTCACGTGGAGTTGAGCCAAAGACAGACTCAGTCTAGATAATATATATTATTTTATAAATTATATTGAAGAAGTTACAAAAATAAATTAAAAAAAAATTATAAATTTATTCATTAGCTATTTTAATAAGATTTTGTAAACAATATCACAAAATTTAAATAAATAAACACTCGATTAAATTAATTCAAACTTTCCCCTAATAGTTTCTTCTTTCTATCTCATTTTGACTTATTGTTTTTCTCTTTACAAACAATTGAGAATGAAAAAAAGAGAGAGAACAAAGAGTAGGAGTATAACAAAGAAATGGAACACAAATTTAGAAAAACAAAAAAAGAAAAAGAGATTTGTAATTAAAGAAAAAGATAAATCCATAATCTAAAAGCCACCATCCAACAAAGAAAAAGGATAAGGTGGCAACGAACTATTCTCCGCCGCCATTTCACTTAAAACTTCCACACCCCCCATTTTACCATCGCCGCTATGCTCACCCCCCATAAACGGCACCGGAGACAACCCCGTCAACGGAGTCGGAAAATTTTTGCAATCATATCCATACCCCATTTGTCCAATCTCCGTCTGTCCCCACCAACCCCCCACCGGCGTCACTCCTGGCGGCGGCGCACGGTGGAAATAATCAATTTCAAATCCCGTCTCCGGCGAAGACGATGGCATCATATTATTAGCAACAGTTACCTCGTCTTCCTCAAACTCTGTCTTGACAGAATTCCCAACCGCCATGCCAGACGAGTCTGAGGAAGTCGAGGTAGCCGCCACCAGAACCGTTGTCGCTGGAGATATCAACCGTCTTTTTTTCTTATCAAGAACTATCTGTTTCTCTCTCTGGTTGAGTATTCTAGACAGAATTTGAGGATCTTCAACGACATTGCAAAGAAAAGCCATCATTTGTTGTGGTCGTTTCTCTGTTGTTTCTAATCTCTTGTTCATCCCTTGAAGCTCTTCATCTAAATTTCTTTGTTCTTCTTTCAGCTTCAATATTTCTGTCACCATAGCTTCATCTTCTTCAAAATCCTCAAACTTCACTTCATTAGAATAATAGTTATTATTATTATTATTATTATTATTATTGTTCCTTCCATTTCCAGCTCCACCAACGTGCTTTTTTCTAACTATGTTCTTCAATAAGTGCTTTTGTCCTCTTAGAAACCACTCATTCGCAAATTCCCAACGATCCGGATCAACTTTTCTGAAACCCTAAACAAAACCAAAACAAAAAAAAAAAAACATCATAAATTAAGAATTGAAAAAAATAATGAAAACCCAATACTAAAAAAGTGATTTTGGGAAGTGGGTTTGTGTTACTTACGTAGGTGTTGAGTTGACGAACGAAGCTAGAGAAATTGTTGTGTTTGAAGAAAAGAGGGAGAAGGGAGTGAGAGAATTCGAGGGGGTCGAGGACGATGAAACTGTTGTTAGATGGACCCCACTTGATCAGGTTATCGGTGTTTGGTTCGTTAACCATGTGATATGTCTTCATGATGAACGGTGCGATCATGTTGTTCTGCTCCATCCCCATTTAACAAAGAAAAGAACAAGAACAATAACTCACACGATTACAAAGATGGATTTATTGGTTTGTGTTATATTGAACTATTAGAGTGAGGAGAGAGAGAGAGAGAGAGAAGGTTTTTCTTTTTTCTGAAAGAGAGCAACACCGAATATATAAAGATGCTAGCAACCAAGATTTTAAAGAATCCTATTACCGTGAAAAGGATAGCAATAAAACTGTATTGAAAAAATGCCGATATGGCTATTGTTATTAATTATTTTTATGATAAAAAATTATGATTAATTATAGATTTAAATGCAATTTTAGTTTCTTTATAATTAGTTCCTTAATTTTTTAGTCATTTAAAAAAAAAAATTATTAGATCTTCCTATTTTATTTTTGGTGAATTTTTATCGATTACGGACCATTTATCTCATATTTTAATGACACGACACTCTAATATAAAATCAGTTACTTGCTACATTACTAAAATAATTTCTTTATTCATTTTTTATTTGTATATTTATTTTTTACTATGTCTGAAATAATTTATATAATTATATGAAATATAATAAGATTACTTCACTCCAACAACCATATTCGTTCATTCCACCATTGTCATTCATCTTCTTTAAGTGGAAACCCTAAAACTGTTAACTTTCAGAATCGAAGAAGATCCACAGCAAAAACTGTATATGTTGTTGCAATGTATCAACCACCACCTTCATCCAAGACGCACGAAGACGACAAGTTCTGTTTCAGGTATGTATTTCTGTTTTAATGTCTATGTAAGTGGTCCCAAAGTGTCTTGTTCCCAAAATATTGTCTGTGGTTCCAATGTTTTTTAACCGTATTTGTTTATCCTAAAAGTTGATTGTGGTCTCAATGTAACCCGTAATTGTTTAATCTGAAACCATAACCATGAAATTTGTCGTATACATGCCACCTACTGAACAGAAAGCTAGGCTCATAATTCACCATCGGGGCACACTTGTTCATCATCATGTTAAATAGTGGTCAATTGTCAAGAGGGGTGTAAATTCTACATGAGGTTTAGTAAGAGGATTGGAAATCAATTTTGGAAAATAACTAGTTTGTTTGGTGAGCATACTTGTGCTAGGACTGCAAGCAACAGACAAACCAAGACTGGATGGTTGGTAAAGCAAATTGCCCATACACTTGGACACACTTCAAACATGAAACCAAGTGGGTTAATAGTTGTAGCAATTGAAAGATGGGGCGTGAAGCTGTCAAGTGATCAGGCTTACAGAGCTAAGAGAAAATCAGTGGAATTAATACAAGGTGTTGAGATGGATCAATTTACACATCTAAAGAGTTATACACAAGACTTATTGAATTCAAATCCTAACAACAGTGTTATATTGCAGTGTTCTGATTCAACAAATGGTCATGTGTTTGAAATAATATATATGTGTGTCTACAAGCATGTAAGGTTGGATTTGCTAAAAGTTGTAGACCATTGATAGTACTAGATGCATGCTTTCTGAAAGGTGGCTACGGGGGACAATTAATGACAGTTGTTGGAAGTGATGGAAATAACTAAATATTTCCCATTATATATGCTGTTGTAGAAGCTGGGACTAAAGATTCTTGGGAGTGGTTCATAAAACTTCTCCTTGAAGACTTGTAGTCAATTAACAATATTCCATATGCCTTCATCTCAAATCAGCTAAAGGTAACAATGCTTCATTAACTTCTAATATGTTTATTATGTTAGCTTATCATGTTAAATTCATGTAATGTGTCTATCTTATAGGGGACTTGTTCCAGTTGTTCAAGGTATAAGTGAGCATGTTGAGCAAAGGCTACGTGTAAAGCAATTGTATGGAAATTGGAAGAAGAAATTTTATGAGTTAGTTTTGAAAGAGATTTTTTGGAGTGCAATTAGGGCTACTACCATCCCAGAATGGGAGAGAATAATGATTAGGCTAAAAGTTGTTGATCCTGATGCTTGGAAAGATATGATGGAAATGCCTGCAAAATTTTGGTCAAGATCACATTTCAAGACATTTGTTAAGTGTGATCTTCAAGTCAATAATATGTGTGAGGCATTTAACAGAGCTATATTGGAGCACATAGACAAATCAATAATTACTTTGTTGGAGGGAATTAAGCATTATCTCACTAAAAGGATCACAAGTCAGAAGGAAATGATCCAGAGGTAGCCTGGAGATATATGTCCAAAGATCCAATTAATTTTTTAAAAGAACAAGAAGTATGCTCATGGTTGAACTCCTACCTGGCATGGTGATGATGATATGGCAATATTTGGAGTCACAACTCAGAAAGAAACTTTTTGTATCCATCTCAAAGAAGGAACTTGTTCATGTAGGAAGTGGATGCTGACTGGGATTCCTTGCATCTATGTTATCTCTTGTATGTGGCAGATCAAGAAATTACCAGAAGAATATGTTGATGACTATTACAAGTAAGTCTCATCTTTATGTCTTGTGACTTTCATTGGTAATTATTTGTTATGGCTATTATTGATAATCATGTATTCTGGTTGTTATCTGTAATTTTATGCAGGAAATCTAAGTATTTAGAATGTTATACCAATATCATCTACCCAACTAATGGACCATAATTGCAGCCTATTGTAGATGGACAAATGGCAGTCAATCCACCATTGATGATAAGGGCAATTGGACGCCCCAAAAAGATGAGGAACAAGTCAAATGATGAGCCAAGAAATCTACATGTGCTGCCAAGGACTTTAGCCACAGTGACATGCAAAAAATATGGAGGTGTTGGTCATAACATAAGAAGTTGCAAAGGCAAAAGAGCTACAAATAGTGCCATACCTGTTGTTGGAAACAAAAAGGCAAAGACTAAGGACAAGGAAAAGGCAGAGACCAAGGAAAAGGAAAAGACAAAGACTAAGTCAAAGGCAAAGGCAAAGACTAAGACTAAGGTTGTAACTGAAATTGACACATCATCTCAGGGTCCAGCTATTACACAACCAACTCAAAAGTAGTTGTAGGACATGATTATAATGTTAAGTGTTTTATAAAGTCATGAACAAGTTTCTGTCATGAACTTATGTTATGTTATTTTGGTATTATGTCATAAAGTTATGTTCTGCTTATTAAGGTCTTATGTCATGATGTTATTTTGTATATGTATCATGTTAACTTGCTTTGTAAAGACAAGCTAATGAATCTAATGAAGTTGTTATTTTTATTATGAATTATAATAAATTTCTGTTACTTTTTTCAATCCACCAGTTATGTTCGTTACAATTAACTTCAAACTAGTACAAGGTTAACAAAAAAAAACATATCCTTTTCATTTCAAACCAACAAATACATTCATTTGATTACAGCTATCCAACAACTGTCAACACTAATCCTAAGTTAACGACAACAACTTAAGCCCAAGTTTACACCAATTGAAAACACTGCTTCATTACAGTTGATAACACTGCAGAAATGGTAAATCGGCAAGTAAAGCTAAGTATTTTTATAGGTTATATCATATCGTTTCCACATGGATTAGTGCTAGTGAATTACCATTCGACAATTTCTCGCGTTTATGAGTTTGGGATTGAATGGGTTTAAAGTGTAAGGTGCGGGAATTAAAAGTTATTAACAGGAAATAAATACATTCTTTGGAGAGGAGAAACTTATCAGGCATGAATTTACACTACTCGTCACAAACTTAAACATATTGATCTGTTGTACTCAACCTACTCTACTCGTCAAAATCATCATAGACACCATGAGATGTACCCCCCAACGAAGGTTGTGTCTAATTCCAAGTTGTGAAACCAACGGTATTACTCTATCGACAATGTCTTGTGCGCTACAACAACACGGAGGCATTAAGCTTTAGCATTAGAAAGCTTATTCGATGTTCTATCTAACAATGCATAAATATCAATGCTTAAATACCTACAAAAATGAGATAAAATCAATTAAATTCAATGATATGTATATGATAACACAATATATACACTATAATGTAAACTATATAAAACGTACGTAAAAGTTGAGGTTTATTAATGAAAAGCAAATGAAATAAGACAATGAGTGCTAACTATTCACACTCAAATTCACAACAATTTAGAACTCATCAAACTCTCCCTAACTAAAACATTTTTTATCCTCAAACAAAGTCAAATAACTCAAAGAAACAAAAGTAATTACCAAAAATCACGAATCAACAAGTTTTGAAAACGGAAAACAAATGTATGGTTCAAATAAAAAATGTAAAAGCAAAGTAAACTTACCACTATCTTACAACAATAACATGTAAATGAAACAAATCCTAAGTACAAAAAACATACTAAACATTCTAAAACAAAACAAGCTCAATCATGAATCACACCTAGTAAAAATTCATCTGTAGATGAAGAACACACAAAAGTGATGAATTTTGACACTCATCCAAGAATCTTGCAAACAATAAATTAAATTATGCATTCATCCAAAAACATATTGAAAATACAAAAGCAAGAATTACAAGGGCTTTAAGGGTTATAATGTGGCTTGGTTAACAAGCAAGGGATAATTCCTAAAGCTAATCAAAACAAAAACTTACCTAAAGTTAAGGGAGTGATCAATTCGCAAAGATTCAAGTAATAAAATTCCAATAAACTTCTTTCTTAATCCCAAAATTTCACACCAAACACAATACTTATTCAACACAACATTATTCTACTCTTTTTGTTTTTATTTTTCAAATCTTTTTCATTTTTTTCTTTCTTTTTCTTTTAACTTCTTTTTCACAATTTTTTTTCTTTTCTTTTACAACCTCACAGTAATCACAACATAAGCACATAAATATTGATCTCCCCAACTTGAATTCAACCATCATCATAATGCGAAGAGTACCTAATTTCTAAGGCAAGGTAAAAATTCAAATTATAAATCATAGTTGAGAGTTCAAGAAAACAAAGAATCAACATTAATTCAAAAAGGAAAACTAAACACTCACAGACAAGCGTTAAGTTTAAAAACAACATGGATATTGTAAAAAGGCTCAAAGGGAATACTAATGATCAC